GTATAACATGAAGGAAGTGAAAAGAATTTTCCGTTACTTAAAAGGCACAATGTCAGTAGGAATTCAGTTTGGTGAAGGTAAAAACGAAGTTGTTGGATATTGTGATTCAAACTATGCTGGATGTCCGGACACTGCTAAAAGTACTTATGGACATGTGTTCGTATTAAACCGTGGACCAATATCCTGGGAAGAGCACGATTGTCGCTGACTCCACAACTGTTGCTGAACTGCAGGCTGCTTATGAAGCATCGAAACAAGCCATATGGATTAAAGATCTCATGAAAGAACTCATGACGTCTTCTGAGAAACCAATAATAATCTATTGCGACAATGAAGCGGCTGTTAAGCTGTCAAAATCCGAGGAAATAAAGAAGAAAACCAAGCACGTCAATGTTCGCTTTAATTTTCTACGACAGACTGTTGGAGACAACAACGTGGAAGTTAAACATATTGCGGGCACAGAGAACCCAGCGGACATGTTAACGAAGCCTCTACCCCATGCAAAGCTGCTCCATTGCTGTAATCTTCTTTTTATCGAGTGAGACTACGTCAAGAGGGGGTGTTGATTGTATGCCGTTAGTCCCACTATATGTATATCACGTGTTCTTGTTTATTATTATATCAGTTACCTGACAGATGGCGTGAGCACCCTTCTCGTATTAACCTAACCTTATTATTATTGTTCGCACACGCCAGAAACCAAGCTCTGTATTTTTATCTTATTCAGCAATAAAAATCCCAATAATGATGTATTTATGCCTGATGTGAACGCAAGAATAAATCAGTGCTAGTGCCCGAACTTTATTGATAAATTTCATACTGTCATTTTTTAATCGATTTCAATTGACTCAGAGTGGTTTCGAATTAAGAAGAATCATTGCGATTAACTTAATCCATGATTAACTTACCAAACGACTGTATTATTATATTAATGTGGACAATATTTGTAGTTTGTTCAGGACACACATATACATGCTTTATCCTCACGAATAAATTTACCCTTCAGAATTAATTCTATATTTATTGGAATATTTTATGGTTTTATCATAAAAAATTGCTTTTAGAAAGCATATATCACTAAAAATGTGATTTGTAAAAAAATTAAAATTAGCGAGATGTATAAAAATAATTTTCATTTTAGTCTTCGTAAAAAATTTATCCAAATACATTACATTGCACTATTGTTGGAACATTTTGTTGCAATATAACAAAAAACGGACATCTTAACAATGTTGGAATTTCGCAACTATCATGCAATATTGCAATGTTTCAGTGAAATCATTCTGCAATGTTTCTACAATCTTTCTGTGCTGTATGGGATTGGTTACATACGGTATGACCCTTCTCATATGTATGTTCTAAGAGGAAGTATTACGTATATTGTCTATTTGGTGAAATATTGTGTGAGAAATCTCGAGAGATTGGTCTAATTTTTGTGAAAAAGTGAACAAAGTAAAACATAGAAAACCGAGCAAGAAAGATTTCTTTTTATTTATTGTATTTTAAACTTATTTTTTGAACATATATGTACAATTATATGTATAAGATCATTAGTAAAATTATCGCTTATGTAAATTTTTTCAAATAGAGAGAGAGAGAGAGAGATGTTGAAAATTTTAATATACAATATTTTACATATTTTACATATGTATACATATATAGAAATATATTATATATATTTATATACAGGGTGATTTTAACATATTTCGTCACCCATTATGAGCAAGTAGAATGAATCGAAAAGTCATGTATCATTTTGCGCAATAGTTAACGAGATATTAATTACTAAAAATTGTCAAATACTGGTCTTGAATAATTTTTTATTCAAATACTATCAACTTTATAGAAAAGCTGCAAGAGACAAAAATCATTTATTTTCTTCTCATAAAGCTCTAAAAATTTTTTCCGAATTTTTTATCAATTTTTTAGTATTACATTTTCTTATTGATAACTATTTTTACTAACATGAGAAAATGCAGGACTAAAAAGTTGATAAATTCTGAAAGAATTCTTAGAGTTCTACGAGAAGAAAATAAACAATTTCATCACTTGCTACTTTTCTGCAAAGTTGTTAGTACTTAAATAAAAATAATTGGAAACTAATATTCTCGGTGGTCTTTAATATAATTAATATCTTGTTAGTGACTTTTCGATTCAGTTCAATTCACTCTACCTGCTCATGATGGATGACGAAATATGTTAAAATCACTCTGTATTACACGTATGTAAAATATGTGAAATATATTAAAATTTTCAACATTTTCAACCCTAAGCGACTAATGATCTATTTATTAGCTGCGTTCGATAATGCAAATCTGAGGCGTCGTAATGCTCTTATATTATAGCATATGTCACGTGCACTGTAGAAAAAAAGCACTTCGACGCCTCAGATTTGCATTGCCGAACACAACTACTAGTGATCGGTACATTACTGAAGCTATATTGGACGCGCATGCGTCTGAAACCCGGCCCGTCAGCAAGTGTGGGGGCTAGGATGAATGAATCACACAGTGGATCACACAGTGAATTATACAGTGCATTACACAGTGCGGAAAAGAGCTGCGGAATAGAGAATACGTCATTGAAACAACCAATTAGCGCTGTTCGGAATAACACAAAAGAACGCTGATTGCTCGATTTCATCCTAACACACCGCTGAACAAGGGTATAATGATTATACATCACGCACTTTACGTCATACAGCCACGTATGACGAGTTTTCGCTAAAATCAGAGATAACGAGACATTATTTTGTGATATTAATTGTGATGTGTGCATATTTGTATCATCCAAATACCAATTGTAAATAATTGGTAACGATTACATGGAATGATAATCTCATAATTATTAATCTTACGTGGTATAGCACAACATGATTTAAAAATTTATATATTTAAACCTCAAAGAACTTTCGAGAATAATTTAGTACGTAAAATTTTTACGTGAGTAAACTACAATCTTCGATGCAGAATGCAATCTTTAAACTGAAATATTATTTGTTATGCAACACTCGTTTGAATTTCGTCGTTCTCTCTAATTGACTATAATGTTACCCTCGCTTATCAGTAATTTAATATAATTTATCGCTTATTTAAGTATACATATATATATATATATATAGATTTGTATCAGATCTCTTTTAGTTGCCATGAAACATTCGTAAGGATTGAATGTTGTGTTTTTACATTTTTATTTTTGTACGTATATACATATACATTTTTTAATTAAATATTTTATTCATTCATAGTGCAATTATAGCCAATAGATCCACATTGTATGATATCTAATTAATGCATTATAAATAGAATATATATTCCTTGAGTCTTTAAATTATGTCTACGTTATCTGCACTCTATTATTAAAATAATAATTAAGTAAAAAACTTTTATCATTTCATAAAATAGCATTAAGCTATGAGTGTATGTGAAGAACATCTTAACATTACAATAGATGAGAATGACATTATTGTTGGTGCTAAAGATATTATAAAAAGGATTAGACCATCCTGGCCTTTACAACAATTGCATTTCAAGGTAATTTTCGGTATCCTTTTATAAGAAGTAATCGAAAAACAGCTGAACAAGGATAACAATAATTGAATTCAAAATTATATATCCCTTATGTCCCTTGCTTTTAAAGAATAAATCACTATATTTACAGTGTCCTTTTTATATCAATATATTATATTTTATTTGTTTATTGGTAATCCTCTCCCTTTTTTTTGAAACATCCAAATCCAATATTATTGATCCTGACATCCAATATTATTTCAATTCTTGTCATAGAATTGAAATTGTAATGCAGATTGGAATTCGTTTTCCTTATGTTCGATTTATTCATTCCTTTATAAATGCAGAGTTTTATCAATTTTTTTTTCATAATTAAATAATAAGAAATATCAATGTTAATAGCTTTTTAGTCTTTTCTTGTACTCGCATTATTTTAAACATTGACATAAGTAACAAAAGAGTTTTCAGGTAACAATACTATCTTTATCATTTTACTAATGATGTATAAATCAAATTGAAATAACTAGGAAAAAAAATATCTTTTCTTCTTTTATTTCAGGTATTTACTAATGGAAGAACAAATAAGTTAATAGGAATATGGTACACGGAACATTATACAGATATGATTCTGATTAGAATTTATGGCAATAATTCGGATTTACTGATCGACCGAAAAAGCGAAATAAAAAATATCCGGGTAAAGATTTTATCAAAGTTATTATACACACCGCTATCTTGTTCATATTTCAGTTCATATAATTAAACTGTTGTAATTTATATGCATTATATTAATTTTTTTTTATTAACCTGCACATATACCTATGCATAAATATTATACAAAGAAAAATATAACAAATTTAAATTTTAATGTGTAAACAATGTGACTAACGTATAGAATAAATATTTGTGCATAGATATTGAATAAGGCTGGCTATACTCATTGCATTTATGCTACATTTAACAACGGATTTGCCTATGAATTCCTGGAAGGTGAAACTCTAACTATTGAAATAATCAAAAATCCAAAAGTATACCCATTAATTGCAAAACGTATGGCTGAAATGCATAATCTTAAATTTGAAAATGGATTTATATCAGAAGATGCTTTTATTTGGGAAAAAACAAAAAAATTTATGCAAATTATACCCAAAAGATTTTCGGATTCTCTCAAGCAAACAAAGTAAGCGCTTATAAATAGATACTTTCTTTGAACATCATATAAGATATATTCAATAATTCAGTTGTTATAGTAATAGTTTCTATTTTAAGGTTTGAAATGTTGATACCATCCTATGCAATATTGGAGAAAGAATATCAGCTATTGAAAAGTACACTTTCTAAAGTGAATAGTCCTGTAGTATTCGCTCATAATGATCTTCTATTAGGAAATATACTGTACAATCAAAAACAGGAGAGTATCGTTTTTATCGATTATGAATACACTGCATTCAACTATCAGGCGTTTGATATAGTTAATCACTTTACAGAATTTGCCGGTAATTATGCATTCTTCAATCTTACAAGTATATTAGAAAACATACCTATCTTTGTACATAAAGTGTATTATAGAACAACAAAGTATATCATAAAGTATATTAAATAAAATTTTAAATACCTGGTACATTTAAGGTTTTGACGAGCCGGATTATTCTTTATATCCGGATGAAAATTTTCAAAAAAAGTGGTTGAAAAAATATTTACAAATATACAACGCGACGATTAATGTATCCGAAAAAGACGTTGACAAATTATACTGGCAAGTTACTAAATTTACTCCTTTGCCACATTTTTTTTGGGGCTGTTGGGCTCTCATCCAGAGTGAATATTCGCATATTGATTTTGATTTTTTAGAGTAAGTGCTTTTATTTATTAATAAAACATATTTACAAATGATATATCAAATATATCTGATATGATAATAGAAAGATAGTAGAAATATATATTATTTATATAGAAAAAAGGCCTCTATTACGAGATACCGAGTTCATTTTGAATACATGTTAGAAATCCATAGGCAGAATTTTAAAAAATAATAGGTCATTTTGAAGGGAATGTAATAAGCTTTAAGATAACATTATATAAAATTTAATTCAAATTCCATTTTTTTTAAATTAAAGAAATGTAAAAAATGAACAAATCGCAAAATCAAAAAGTTGTGCTTCTAATATGAGATGCCCCGAGAAATCGATAGTAAAACACAAAGTATATCAATGGTATTGTAATTAAAAAATTTTATTTAATATTTCTAAAATACAAACAAAAACACAGCCAGCGTGCGCGAAAAATAAGCATGCGATAGATTATATCCAGAACTCTTCAAGTAGTTGGAATCAAGCATCGCAAAAAATAGGCACTCGACATTCCGGTTATCTTTTTTATTATTGTACAATAACATTTATACTTTAGCAACGATTTTCACTATAACATAGGATATGGGTTATTTCATATTACAAATACCTTGGGGTATCTCATATTACGATTTCCACTCTTTATGATTTTATAATCATCAAATCTAACTTCTGTAATTAAAAAATTCAACATATCCCGTATTTTTCTATTAGTACGACCTTACTCTATCACTACATAAAGAATTTATTGCAAAATATTTATTTATCAAATAATAAACAAGATTTAAAGATTCATCTTAATGAAACTTGATATCCAAATTCTAAAAATGATTACAGGCATGATATAATAATGAATTTTCTACTAAATAATTTTCAATCCAAGAACAATAAATTCATGGTGGAACTAATAGTTTATTAGTTTAGCAGAACGCCACTATTCTCATATTAGGCGCCTAATCTTATAATAGAGGCTTTCCTCTATATACAATATATATGAAACTATCTACTATCTACTACTATCACATATATATGTATGCACACTAATAAAAATAACGGCAATAATAATTTGATAATCGATTATTTTCTTGTATAATAGAGTTACCGAAATTTTAGGATAAAAATGAAATACTTTGATCAAATAATTATTACAATGAATTTTTAAATATTTTTTCAGATATGCTGCAATACGTTTCAACGAATATTTTAAATGGAAGGAAGAAATTTTTAAGATGAAAACAGAATTTGATGAATAAAAAAGTGGCATATAAAATTTATAATATGGCATTTTTTTATATTTATTCCAATTGAAATATTTTGTCTCGAATGTATATCCCAACAATTGTACATGTATATGTAGATATAATTTTTTATTGACTATTATTTTTATATACAAGTGACATTAATAGTGATGTGACCAAATATGATCATTATATTTTTATGGTGCTAGTAAAAAATATTGTATATGGACATATTTATGATTGTATATTTACAAGTATAATAGAACAAGTATGAGACAACGTTATAGTTTAATTAAGTTTTTTTTCTTTGTTAAATATATATGGAATCTATAAAATAAAAATGCACGAAGAATTAAGTTTGTCAGTATAATTAATTTAAATTTTCAGTAATTACGTGCTCTCATTGACAATGTCCAGTATAGTACAAGTAACAATAGATCAGTAAAAATAAATAATCGATTTCAAGTAGGAAGACTATCATATCTCATATTTTTCATTATCATTGAGTACAAGGTACAATTATCAGCTATTGAAGATAGCCAGTCTTGGATAAGTTGTTGAGTGTTAAATTTAATTTATTGATATTATTGTCAATCGTGTTATCAGCAATCAATATAATTGATTTTTTTTCTACATGGTGTTTTTAAGAATCTGTATATTGTATTGCGAATTATGATATCGCGAATCAATTCACTTCTATGCTGCGTTCTGTTATGAGTACTGACTCTCTAGTTCGTGACTACAGATTTTCAGTATTTGCATTCGCAATAAGTAGCAGAAGCACAGCCTACCCAGCAAACAAGAATGGATTAAAATGAATTGAAATTTTTTCTATATGAATGTGTATTTTAAATAGCAAATACTTTTTTTTGGATTCAATTGGATACAAATGAATTAAAAAACTGCATTTCCTATTCAAAATTTTAAATTGAACAGTATTCACAATTGCACAGAAAAAGCTAATATTATTTTTAGATTGAAAGGCATAGAGATATGCTCCATGCAATTCCTATAAATGAATAAAAATACATTCAGGATGGAAAAGCATTCATTTTAACATTCGTGAATCAATATTTCTGAAAATCTGAATTCATTTCAATCCATTCTCGTTTGCTGGGTATATGTATAATATATTGAAATTTGTGAATCAATCGCTTTGGGATCAATTTGTATTTTTTATAACAAGGTAAGAGAAGATGATAAAAGTACAAATTTATAGGTTAACATCTAGAAAAATTGTTCACTTTTGTAATTTTCACCTGCTTTCAAGATACGTTTATTCATAATATCAAGAACATATATTTCTATATGTGAATCGATGCATATCGATAATTATGGAATCAGCTAAGGGCCAAGATGCACCAGATGGACATGATGCACTCACACTCTCTTGGAAATTGAATTGAATGAAAATATGGTAAACTGTAATCGAAAGGAGAAGCACTAGTTGAGCCTGATTGAGTCAGTTCTCCGAATTTCATCGATATACTTGAGCTCTTTGTTTAACAACAGATATAATTGCAAACTGTTCGGTTCGGCGATTCATTCGTCCATTGTTTCTGATTGTTCAACACATAAATGATGTCTTCCAGCGATAGACACAGTCACAGTGTACTTTTAACACTGCGATCATTAATCATTTCAACTCGGTATAAAATCGGCAAACAAAAATATATGTGTTACACTCCTTACACTGTGTCTCTTGGGAAGCACCTAAAATTATAGGAAATTCAGGCTTTTCTCTCATTTATATATATATATATATATAGATCAAACGACCGTTTTTCAAAATGAATACTCACGTGACGATAGGTATATGTATAGTAGTTCGCGCGTTGCGCCACTTATTTTCTCGTTCTTAGTTGGTACATGTCTTTTTCGGAGGAACGACGACATTGAACAGTCGGTTAATCAAGTCGAGAGAGATAGAGAGTTGCTTCATCAACTTAAGCTGTATCTGATCGCAAACAATATCAGAGAGAAACCTTAATTTCTCTCTGACGATATATATCGGTACGATTCTTGCTTCTTCGTTGATAGACGATGTCTCATGGTGACGATACGCGTTTGATTGAGAGCAATTGAGAATTTTGTACTGGACAATCGAGAGAGAGAGAGAGAGAGAGCTCAGTTGAATCAAATCAAAACTACACCTGCAGGCTGCAATCAAATACGCAGTGGTGCGTAATTCGTGCTGGATCGCGCATCTTCGACCTCTCCGAAAAAGAAAGACAGGAACGCTGTGTTCTCTGGTCACTCAAAAGCCTAGACTTCGCGTTTGCCGATCGTTTGTCAATAATTGAAAGATGCACGTCACCTGCAAGTGCCTGAATGTATCCATCAAGTCTAGAAGTGCTGAATTGCAGCAGGTTAACGTTGAATTAACCGATCTGGAGCGTGCTGATGCCTTTTTTCGAGAGGTAAATAAAAGCTTTTTCACTCGTTGCTTTCCTCTTTTTCGAAAAAATCCGTGATCTAAAAACAAATAATTAAAAAAAAAAGTGTTCTGTTTCATCTCCTCCTCCCTCTTTTGCTTCTCACCTGTTTTATTGCAAAGTTAAAATCGGTTTGAATTTAGTTAGAATTTTATCTTTACCCCTTTACCGATATAAATTTAGAGTTTAATCTTATATAGAGATGTGTAATAGACATGAAAAAATATATGTTTTCTCATGCTTCAATTTTCATAAATAGATCTCAGTTTGACATATCATGTAACTCATTGCGATCGTATTGATTCCATGTTTGTTTTTTTTTGCAGCACAGCAATAATCTTATAACTTAACTTTGGGACCCCGTCGTATTATGTTAACGTTTTGTTCAAGCTGGTTCATCTTCCATTTTTTGTATATCTTCTTTGATTTTATATAAAATATTTTTTTTAGTATTCACGTGAAATTAGTGAGCATTGATCGACATAATGTTTCTGTTTGGATATTAAATTCTTTTAGCATTAAAAAAAAATATCTGCACAAAAGTCATACTGTTATAATCAATTACTATATATAATTATAATTAAAACATAGAGCGATTTAATTATTAATGACATAACACATAATAATTTTATTTTTGACAGGATTTGGCGAGTGTGTCAGAATTAGAAAAAATTACTAAAGAACAACCTGGTTTAATGGAAAAAAGAAATGTTGGATCCTGGATTGTACACCGTTGTTGCAATTGCTCAATGTATACTCACGCAGTTCACAGAGAATACGGTGCTGCTTTAGTCCTCATTAATAACAATATTCTTGTAAGTTTTAGACAAAAAACGTATTGCAAGAGAGATATTAAGTTAAGAGATGATGATCTTGATCAAAATAATCTGTTTGTGTTTGCCATATAATCTGTTTTCTTGCACGGTTGCCTTTTCTGTTCAAGATTAAATGCCATTCAAATTATTCTAAAAAAAGAAAAAATAATATGAATCTTTTTTGTTTCAAAAATCAATCTTGTTTAAAAGCCAAGAATCTCTGGCCGAAGAAGTGGCAATGTGTTTACTTGACTGACTTTATCTACATTCTTGTTGTTGCCTTTCCAAAACGTTTGTCATCTATTTAATTTTAGTGTAACTTATGAAAAATAATTTATTATGAATCATTCTTTATCTAAGGGCGTGTTCGAATTCCCATCCAGATTCTCCCTAGGGTCTAGTTTCACAATTAACTCTTAACCGAGGTTCAACTTATTCATTATCTCTTTCCAATTCCCTAGAATTGAAAAGAGATGAGAAATAAGTTGTAAGTTTGAAACGGCCTAGGTATCATTCTTGTTTAATATTGGATAAACAAAAATGATGTGATACTTGGATAATACTCAGATAGGAATCTGAGCATAATCTAAGATAAGCAACTGATTTTATCAAGAACGATTGTCTCTGCATATGATATTAATTGCAGATACACATTTGTTGTTTATATAAATTACAAAAATAATACCTATCAGAGATATATTATTCATTTTTATGGACTTGTTAACTTCTAAATAAACTTGTTTGAAAGATAATTATACTGTTACAGTTATCTCCCGAAGAAATAAATAAATTAAAATCCAATCCAGATTATAGCCCAATATTTAGGGTAGTAATTAATCATAGTTTGGAAGATCTCGACGATTATCTGCAACAGCCTAAATTTTCTGGTAAGCAGTGTGTGTGTGTGTGTGTGTGTGTGTATGTGTGTGTGTGTGTGTGTGTGCGTGCGTGCGTGCGTGCGCGCGTGCGCGTGCGTGTGTGTGTATGTTCAACATGTATTTAATTTTGTTGGATTTTAAAATAATTCATATATATCTGCATATTATGTATCCATATATTATTGGGTCATCTAAAAAGTATCCGCAGTTTTTTGTCAC